TGAGGTTACCAGGATAAAGCTAAATATTTCTCTGGTGTCAGATGTAATGTGCTTCTCAATACCAGTAGCTAGGGAATGCAGACAAGAGGGTACTCTTATGCTTGGGTCCTGCTTATGAGCTTCCCATTTGTAATTGTTTGGCTGTTGTGGGAACAGAATGATGAGATAAGGCTTTAGTCTGACCCAGCTCTTATTTAAGTGGTATACAACATTGATCAATAATCATTAAGCAATTTCCTCATCTCATTTTTGATCCCTTTGGTCAAGGATTATACTACTTTGGTGTACTAAGCACCATCCAGTACATTGTTAGTGCTTTAGTAGAAGCGGCAATACTGGCAATCCCACACTAGTGCGGGGGGGGGGGGGGCGGACTTCTGGGGCAGGACTTCTGGTGGAACTTAAAAATGTGGAGGGCACACAGAAGTGGCCAGAGGGACACCCGCACAGGCTGAAATAGCGCCCTTGTGGGCCGGAGCCACAGCCACACAGGCCCAAGAGTTGTCTGGGGTGTCACCCAGTGCGATCCACACCCCTCTCACACACCCCAGTCACACTACTGAGTGGTAGTATGTCTCAGGGTTGCCCACTGTAGCCTTGAGATCCCTTCCTACATTGCTATGATGCTTCTGTTCATTTTCTGTACATTGGTCAGACCCCTCCCTCCCTTGCAGATGGCTGACAAATCTGAAACAGGAACACTAGAGGGGGAAGAATTTGTGCTGTTCTACAAGGCACTGACTCAGCGGGATGAGGTGCTTGAGATCTTCCAGGAGTTTTCTGAAGATGGCAAGAAGCTGACACTGTTGGAGTTTGTGGACTTCCTGCAACAAGAACAGATGGAGAACAATGGCACTGATGAGCTTGCCATGGAACTGATTGACAGATATGAGCCATCTGAGACAGGTGGGTGAGGAGGAGAGGATATAGTGGAGAGCTGATGGATTCACAGTCAAGGTCCACAGTTGACATAGGTTGGCAGTGAAGTCCTGAAAGAATCCTTTGAGTAACTCCAAGTCCTCCAAGAACATTTAGACAATGAGAGGGGGCAGAGGTGTGTGTGGTTCTTGTCTCAGCAGATGTCCACAAACTATTTACCATTGCCTTTGTTAATCTATGACACATATTATCATAGAAATGGCAGAGAGAGCTGCTTTTCTTGGCCTGTCAAATTCTCCTGTTACACTGGCTTTGTAGATTTCAGCATCCTTGTTCCTTTGAAGTACCTTTGTTTCTTGGAGGCCTGTCTCCCTTGACACTGTTTTCTCTCCCTGTTGGTCCACTCTTTCCAACAGCCAAAGCTCGCCACATTCTGAGCACGGATGGATTCCTCATGTACCTGTACTCACCGGATGGCTCCATCTTCAACCCTGAGCACAGGAAGGTCTACCAGGATATGTCTCAGCCCCTCTGTCATTACTTTATCTCCTCCTCTCACAACACATATCTGATGGAGGACCAGCTACGAGGACAGAGCAGCGTTGAGGGATATATCAGGTATTGCAATCAAAGGATAGAAGATATAGTGGCTTAGATACTCTGTCTCATGACAGAACCAAGTATATTTCACTACCTGCTCTTCCCTGATCCTCCTTTGCATTTAACCATAGGTTATTCTTCCTATGAGATCCAGTTCACTGTAGTGGTTTGAGCACTGGGCTATGACTCCAGAGACCAGGGTTCAAATCCCTGTCAGCCTTGGAAACCCAATTGGTCATCTTGATCAAGTCACATTCTCTCAGCCTCAGAGGAAGGCACTAGCAAACCCCACTCTGAACAAATTTTGCCAAGAAAATGCTGTGATATGTCATCTTGCCAAAAATACCCTGCCTTGGGGTCGCTGTAAGTTGGAAACAATTTGAAGACAGACAACAGCTTCCTATCTACAGGTTCATTTGGCCTCTCATTGTCAGATGCCTCTTAGACTGATCACCTCACCAAGAAAGACTTAAATCATAGAACATTATAGTTGGAAGGAATTTCTAAGAATTACTCTGTCAACCCTCCACCAAAGCAGGGAGTGCACACGTAAAGTACCCCTGAGACATGGCCATATGTTTAAAAACCTCCAACACCTTTCCAACCAGTTTGTACAGCTCTTTCCACAAGGAAAAGTATTCCTAACATTTAGTCAGAATCTTTTTATATTTAGAATCCATAGGTTTGGATCTTATACTCTGGAGTAGAAGAATGTGGAAGTAGTGGAGATCCAGATCATTATCCCTCCACTCAGGGCTCTTGGTCTTGCGAAGGGAACAATATCCTTCCAGTGCATAATAGCAAAATGCTATGCAAATGAGTCAGCGTGGTGTAGTGGTTTGAGTATTGGACTGTGACTCTGGAGAGCAGGGTTCAATTCCCGCTAAACCATGAAACCCACTGGGCAACCTTGGGCAAGTCACACCCTCTCAGCCTCAGAGGGCGGCAATGGCAAACCTCCTCTGAACAATTCTTGTCAAGGGGTGCCGTAAGTCGGAAATTACTTGAAGGCACACAACAACATTTACTACAACATGCAAGTTAAACTACAATAATCCACACATAACCTGCAATTTCATCCTGTCCTAGTGTTCTATTTGTCCACACTAGTCCATCTTTCTGCTGGCAGCAGCTGCTTCAGTGCCTCTCCAAGCCAAGCTATCTGTGTGACAGCAGTCCCCTGTAGATTCCTGTGCCATCTTTCCTCACTGGAACTCCTACACCTTTTAACATCTGCTTAGTGCTGAGAATTCAACACTGCTAATTTTTTTCTGCTTTCCCCTCCATCACTACAGGAAGAAAAATGTACAAGTTGAATTTCTCACAGTCTTGCAATTGTTAAAGGCACAGGAGCCTCTGTCAGGAAAGAAGTTGGCTATCCTACTTATGTTGTAAGCCTACAAGAAAAAAGTACCCACATTTTCTGGGTACACACAATGGCCGGAATCCTGCATTGCTTATTATAATATAAATATTTGGTGGTGGTGTTATATTACTCAACCCTTATAATGAGTACCAATGTAGGGTAACATATGTGGATTCATGGTGAATGTGATGACTGACAGTGTATTATGCAGTTGCAATGCAAAATGTGCAAAGGCAGTGCATAGAGGCAATGCACATTCACATGCTATTGTGTGTACTTTAATGCACTATGGTCCCATATGAGCAATTCTGCTTTTGCTGTTGTCAGCTGGATATGACCATTGTTTATTCCCCCATGAGCATAACAGAACTTGCATCTTCTGTGACTAAGAAGATGGCAGCCAATGTTTGCTTCCTGCCTTTAGAATTTGAAAACAGATGTAATGGGTGCAGAGTGGCATCACTGAGCTATAGTGGCATCTGTTCCTCTCCAGGATCAAATTCCCAAAATGTTCTGTTATAGTTTCACATAAATGCCAACAGGGTACACCACAGGACTGACTGGCTCCTCAATCCTGTGATGTTACAGAGGCACTCTACTCCCATGAGTCTTTTTGTACTTTTACCCTACAGGTAATGATTTCATGGGTAAACATATAAACATGCATACATAACTTTTAAAAAAGTGGCAGCATTGTAAAGCATTGTCAGAAAGAAAAAGACAGATGGAAAGAGTTGCAAAGCAGTTGGCTCATCTTTCAGTGGAGGCCTCTCCAATGAAATATATGTTTTTATATTATCTGTTTTCACCTTTCACCCTTATCATTTATAATATCCAAGCACCAAATTGAAAGCACAGGAAGTTTTCATTTTGGAATGCCTGGTATGATTGCTGGTTCCAAGTGGGCACAGATATGGTGTGATGGACTTGGCAGTGTGCAGATGAAGCATAGGAGGTTCCCTCATGTTGGTAACTTGCCAACAGCAGAGAGTGCTGCCTGGGCAGTACGAAGGGCTCATTGGTTGCCTTCTTTCCTCCTTCAGGGCTCTGAAACGGGGCTGCCGCTGCCTAGAGGTAGATTGTTGGGACGGGTCTAATGGAGAGCCCATCGTCTACCATGGCCATACCTTCACTTCTAAGATCCCTTTTCGAGAAGTTGTGACAACCCTTGAGAAATATGCATTCCGGGTAGGTTGGACTTTTTTGAAACAGGGAAGGAAGGGTCCCTTCATTGGGGAAGTGGGGGGAAAGGAAGGTATTATATAAGATATATATGTATGGAACCAAGGGGAAGAGTGCAGTACTGGTTCTATCATTAGACCTAATAAAATGATGATCTCAGGTAGCAAATGTTGGGAACAGAGGCAGCAGTGCCAGCTTCTCAGCTATTCCCATGAACTCCATAGATATCAATATAATAATAGAATCATAGAATTGGAAAAGACCTCAAGGGCCATCAAGTCCAAACCCCTGCCATGCAGGAATACACAATCAAAGCACCTCTGACAGATGGCCATACAACCTCTCCTTAAAAACGTCCAAGAAAGGAGACTCTAACACACTGAGGGAGTGTGTTTCACTATCAAACAGCTCTTACTGTCAGGAACTTCTTCCCAATGTTGAGGTGGAATTTCTTTTCTTGTAGTTCACATCTACTGCTCTGTGCTCTAATCTATGGAGCTGGCTCCATCCTTAATATTACACCCCTTTAAATATTTAAACAGAGCTATCTTACCCCCCTCTTAATCTTCTCTTTCCCAGGTTAAACATACCCAGCTCCCAAAGTCGCTCCTCATAGGGCATGGTTTCCAGACCCTTTGCCGTTTTGGTTGGTCTCCTCTGGACACACTCCACCTTGTCAACATCCTTTTTGAATTGTGGTGCTCAAAATCAGACACTGTCGCCTTCTGCTAAAGTACAGAGCCCTGTATTCTACAATTTTCCCACCCTATTGAATGTTGAATGATTTCAGCTGCCAGTTCAGTCAGCTTCTGTATATGGACTGGGAAAGGAGTGTCATCTTGTCCTTTGCTTCAGGCAAACTCTTTGGTCATCGTCCAGGCTGCATCCCAAAGCTATGAAGTACTGGCCCTATTCCCATCTCTTTACGAAAGGCACTTTAGAACACAGACATGTTCCAGCTGACTATGATTTCACTATTTTGAAATAGAGGCTTCATCCTTGCTCATTCCTAAAATCTCTAGAAATCATCTTTTCTTAGGAAGAAAGAACTTAATGTCCTTCCTATGCTTCCAGTCCCAGTGGCTTTTGCAGTAGCCCCACTTCCTTCTTTCCCACTCTATGGTCCATCTTCATCCCTCCAAAACCATGAGCCTATCATTGCCTCATTCAGTACTTCCTTGATCCCACAGGCTTCTGAATACCCTATTATCCTATCTATTGAAAACCACTGCAGCATAGAGCAGCAGGACATCATGGCACAACAGCTGAAAGGAATCCTGGGAGAGCAACTTCTCCTCAACACTATTGATGGGCGAGTCCCCATGCAGTTGCCTTCACCTGAGGTAAGGAAACGAAGTGATGGATCATCTTTTCTCAAACTGGGCTTACAGGGCTTGATAGCGCTGAGAGGATAAACATGTCTATGAATACCTATTCCAATTTCTTTTATCAATCTGAAGCATTAAAAAGGTGACCATTTTGATGGCAACCATTGAGTGGGTCCTTGTTGGTGGCTTCTTAAAAGGTATAGGAATTTCCAGGAGACTCTGGGATGGCCCTCTCTCTGTTATCCTTCCACCAACAAGAAAATACCTTTGTCTTCAGATGGGCTGTTGGCAGTTGACAGGTTACTGAGAGAGCTGTGGTGAACAAGTGTGAGAATGTACTGGGAGACTTTTTCAGATGAGAGGGGATGTTTGCTTGAAGCACATAAGAAACTGGTATAGGTGTGGGGAGTGAGTGAAGATGGAGTTTTATAAACAGGCTTAACCAGGATGTGACTGGTGGAGCTGGACTGCCGGGGTAGGAAGACCCTTCCTGTGATGCATCTTTTGCTCTACTATGGTCCCTGTGTCCTTTTCCTCCTCCTGCAGGAACTGAAAGGGAAGATCATTCTGAAGGGGAAGAAGATTGGCTATCTGGAGGATTCTCTGAATGGGCAGCCGGATGAGATGCGAGAGCAGGAAGATGAGGAGGAGGAGGCAGCGGAGGAAGAGGAGGGAGCAGAGCCAGAGGAAGAAGCCCTGCGCAATGAAGCCAAGAGGAAAGAAAAGGTTGGCTGGTTCATTGGTTTATGTATCCCATTTTACTCCAGATATGACATAGAAGGCAGTTTACAGCATTGATTAAAACTAAATACAGGCAAAATCAATCATATTATTTAAAGAACATGTCACCATAAAAGCAAACTGTTGTATCAAAAACAGCACTAAATTAAAAACACCTTAAAAGCATTTAAAACATAACAAATGAGAGGAAAGTGCAGCACCGCTCTATAAAAAATATTCTTCCACAACAACGAGGACTAGTGGAAAGTGTCCTTTTCACCAAAGATGTATGGACAGCCTAAGTGGTCAGGTCTTAGTGGTCAGGTTTACCCAGGAACAGAAATTGTGGAGAAATAATAGTTGAACTATGTTGATTCAGTGGGGGTGTCCATAGCTTCCACTGTGAAGAGAGAGCAGCTCAGTACTCTCTGGAGTTAGCAGCAAGGGCATATTTTCCTATCATGAGTCTTTCTTCATATAGGAGTCAAATTACTGGTCCCATTTTATATATATATATATATAGTATTACCCTACTGAGCATCTTCTAAATGTTTTGGACTATAACTCTCATAATCTCACCACCAACCATATTATTGTTACAACCATACATACTATTTTTAAAAGTATAA